AAGTCATGCCACAGCATGCCACATGTAATGTTAGGGAACATGATGTTTCAATTAGTAAATCAAGGTTGAAACTTAGGGATTGTATTTTTTCCTCAGGATTTGTGTTTAGTGAGTTTCCGTTTTTTCCCCCTTGTCAGTATTGTAGATAGGATATCTTGAGTCTCAGTGGTTTTTTTTTTTTTGAAAGCTTCTATTGGGTCTTCAAATTATCTAATTTATTTGGATTATTACAGTTACAGTTACTAGGATCTCAGAGGCAATACTACTGCCAATTTATTTCTTTTTATTTCTTTTTGTCAGTGATGCTTGTAGTGTTACCTCTAGGACAAAAGAAGAGGAAGCTTTGAGTAGAGGTGTAGTTGTTTTGCTCTCTATCTTCCTTGCTGAGACAGTGTATGGCAGTGCTGCAGTGCAGTGATACTTCAGCTGGCATTAAACTAATTATTTTGGGTACATGAAGCATTCTGGCTACACAGAATGAAGTCAAGTATGCTCTGATTTTCCCTGCCAAAAGGCTTAGCAACTTGGGCACCAATGAATGAATAACAATAAATAGCAGTGTCTGGATAGGAATTTATGGGGATGTCGTGGTTCAAGCCCAGCTGGCAACTAAGTACCAGGAAGCTGTTCACTCACTTCTCACCCTACCTCAAGTGGGATGGGGATGAGAATTAGTGGGGGGAAAGTAAAACTTATGGGTTGACATAAGAAATGAAGTAAAATATAATAAGAATAAAAAAGAAGAGGGAAAGAGAGACAGAAAAGCCTAGAGAAAAAAGTGATACACAATTGCTCACCACCCACTGACTGGTACCCAGCCCATCCCTGCACTGCAGCCAGTCCCTTTCTGGGTAACTCCTCCCGTTCATGGACTGGGCATGTTGTTCTATGGTATGGAATACCCCTTTGGCCAGTTTGGATCAGATGTCCCAGCTATGTTCCCTTCCAGCTTTTGTGAAGCTCTTCCCTGGCAGAGCATGAGAAGTCCTTAAGGTAAACACTACTTAGCAACAACCAAAACGTCAGTGTACTACCAATATTATTATACTGAATTCAAAACACAACACTGTACCAGCTACTAGGAATAAAATTATCCCAGCTGAAACCAGAACAAGGAGAGCTTGTCATTCTGAAATTTTTCATATTCCCTACATTGCTACCTCTCTTGCTTCTGTAATCTTTTATCTCTTTTTTTCTAACTTCAAAGGAAAAAATGAAGCAAAGAAGGATGACAGAATGCAGAAGCTGTGGGCAATGTATCATCCAACAGCAGACACCTGACTGTAGCTATTTCTCAGACAAAGGGTCTGTGCAATAATTCCCATGTTAGGCAAAGCTGACACCTTACACAGAAAATAAGAGTTGAATTGAATAAGAAGATAGACTGGATTGTGGTGATCATGTGCAGAGCTCAAGCATACTGACCAGCAACTCAGCTGTCCCCTTTTGTTCCCCTCCCTTCAATTTCCCATGCCTGTTCTCGGGTTTAACATGATGACCTCTCTTTATCCCCCACTGTCTACTCTCAAATAACTTTCCACTCTGACTACTTTTCCCTCACAAGTCTCGCTTTTGCTACCTCTGTATCCAAACTTGGTGTTTCTGGGGGGGTTACCTAGCCAATCATTTAGCAGTCACCCAGCAAGTTTTACTCTTCAAAATGTCCTTAGTTCTCTGCTCCATTATCTGTGAGATTTCATAGAATCATAGAATCATTTAGGTTGAAAATGACCTTTAAGGTCATCAAGTCCAACTGTTACCTTAACACTGCCAAGTCGATCATTAACCCATGTCCCTAAGTGCCACATCTACAATTTTAAATATTTGAAATACCTCCAGGGTAATACCTTCTCTGGGCCGCTTGTCCCAATGCTTGATAAACCTATCAGTGAAGAAAGTTTACCTAATATCCAATCTGAATCTCCCATCTTGGCCATCCTTACATCATTCCCTCTTAACCATCTGTGAAATTTAGTCATTCTTCATCTGTAACTGGACATTAGGAAGCATTACTTTACCAAGAGGGTGGTCAAACACTGGAACAGGCTTCCTGGAGAGGTGGTGGATGCCCCAAGCCTGTGATCATTTAGGAGGCATTTAGACACTGCCCTTAATAACATGCTTTAACATTTGGTCAGCCCTGAAATGGTAAGGCAGTTGGATGAGATGTTCCTTGTAGGAAAATGTTCCTTGTACGGTAACATTGTTCCTTACAAATGAAATAATCAATTCTAAATGTGCTCAGACTGGATATAAAGGATATTTCTAATCAAGAGAGAGGGGGGTGTCTGAAATGTGCTCCCCAAAAGTGTTTTGACCAGAACAATCCCAAATAAAAATTAATGAAGCTTACAAAGTAGCTTCATCAAGTGTGAGTGAATGTGGTTGCAAGTCTGTGTTAAATTTATCTTGTGATGTGCCTGTGATTTGATACCTAATGCTGGTGCCAAAACAGATCATAAGGAAGTGGCTGTGTTTTCTTCATAAATTTTAATAATAGCAAATATAGACCAGTTTCATTCCAAACTGCTGTTTGTGTTCTGTGATCTTCAAAACACTTTTACAGTTATTATTATTATTATTACTATTATTGAGGGTTTGAAGCATAGAAGGAAAGAAAAATTTTGCTGCAAGTTTGAAATTTCAACCTAGTTTTACAAATAAAGACCAAACTTTTTTGAAGTGCTGGCAAGAAAGAATAGTGAGAGAAAACAACTTTGCCTTTTCCCCCACTACCCCTTTCTCTATTTCCTCTAAAAGTCTGCAGTGCTTACCTGAGGAACCGGAGACCTTGCCATAACTTTTAATTCCTACAGAAAGGAGGCCTGACCAGAGTTTTCTAGAACTAAACATGTGTCTCAAGCCATTTTCATGTTTTCATGATTTTGCTTTCTCCAGAAATTGAATCCAATATCAGAGAAATGTGTTTAGTAAACGATGTTCTTTTATGCAGTGGAAGAAGAATTGATATTTTAATTAAAAATACAAAAAATATAGGAGACTGTGGACAAAAACATTATTTGCAGGATAGCACATGATACCTAGAAAATTTAAAACTATCTATTTGAAAACTGAGAACTCAGACCTGGGTGAACTGGAAGATATTTGTATTTAGTCCAAGCCCAAGCTGTAGAGTGTGGAGGAGAACAGAGTTCTGAAAAACATAAGGCATTTAAAAAACTTTATTAGTTTTTTAAACTAAATCCTCCTAAACATATCTGAGTTTTTAATTTTTTCTTTGTTCTTAACATAAAAAATGAGGTGAGAGAAGTATGAAAAATGGAAATGCAGAAATTTAAGACTCATGTTAAACAGTTTGATTAAAAATTTGAAGATAAGATTTAGAATCTTGGCATTCAAATAACCAGCTCCTTCTGGTATCCTTTGCAGAAGGAAGTACTGGATGTGAGTATAAAATGAGAATAAAATATGATATTAATTTGCACTGAAGTAGCAAATATTCTACAGAAGTCTCAGGTCATTAATCTATCTTCCAGCTAAGGGAACTACATTAATAGCTTATGGGATTTACAGGGCAAGCTTCAATTTAATGGTTCACCCTAAGTTTGGGGAAAATAGGAAAGGGCAGGATACTGGAGGATACATTATATCTTGATGCATTAAAATCAATGGCAAAACTTTCTTGGCCTAAAATGGCCTCTAGATAGTTTCTAATTTCGTTGCTGCTGAACGTTAATTGCCTGTCTGCAAAGTGGAGGAAACTATATTTTCCTGACAAGTGTTAAAACTGACAGTAATCCTCATAGCTCTGTCTTGAATAGGAAAATAATCTGAATTAATGTTAAGCTTTAATTGCATTTTTGGAGGTGAATGGGATGGGGGTTGTTTTTTTAAATGTGGCCTCAGCCTAAAAAAGACAAATATTTGCAGTGAATTATAAGAAGATACCTGCAGCGTCACACAGTTTCACTTGTGGTATTTTCTAAGGAGCTCTCATCACTGGAGTCCTGCCTGTGTTTTGTCATTAGTCACTATGTTCTTTAAATTATATTATTTCCCTGTGCTCTGGAGCTAGGTAAGAAACCCTTTTTTATGTTTCTTGCTGTTGGAGATAGGGTGTGCCTTTGTAAATGGAGAGAGGAGCATATTACATAGTTTGCAGCTGATTCATGAGAAGGCTCAGAACAAGAACCAGGGAATAATGTTGTAATTTAGTAGCTGAAATTCTGTCTTCACAGGGGAGAGTCACTAGTACAGCACCTATAAATCAGTGTTGGTGCAGTGCATCATCAGATATGCAACCTTTTTTAAGGTGATAATTCCCATAATTTGAGTATTGACCTTGTTCTATGTTGTACAGACTTGTAATCTGTGTTTTTCTGAGTGATCCCCACAGGTGGGACATTTCTAATGTGAAGTCACACTGTGAGACACCTCTGAGTGTGCTGGGAAGATGGGATTATAAATATTCATTGCTCTTGCAACCTTGGGCTATGAATGTTTCAAATTTTATAAGCTAAGCAGAACTGGGCCTAGTCAGAGAGAAAAGAAAGTCTCAAAACTTTGGTAATTCCAGGTGATAAATGAAGCAGAATGAGTAGAAAATGAGAGTTTTTCTGCTAGGCTGATTTTGAGCCAACATGCTAATTTGATTAGGAGAAGTACATAAGCACAATATAAAATCTAATAACTTATGACAAAACCAAGTCAGGCTGGATTTCCCTCCCTTGGAAATACAATAACTGCTTTGTGGTCTGCTTTCATCACCGAAACTATAGGTTTGGTCACCTTACAGGTGTAAGGAAAAAGAGTGGGTGCTGTCAGGCTCCCCCATGCTGTCCCATCCCTTCCCATGGTTGGACCCTGACCACTGGCCATGGGAAATACAATTAGAAAAGGGATCACATCATGAGCCTGGTGAAAAATCTGGCTCGGATTGTGTATAATGCCACTAGCAGTTTCTTTCAACTACGTCAGACAAGTAAGGGATGAAGGGCAGTAGGAACTCATTTCATTCCTTTCCTACTTCATTTTTCCAGGTACAGAAGAAGGACTTGCTAATGCTGGGTGCCTGCCTGTGCTCTGTGATGAGATGCAGCAAAATCCTGTCCTCAAGCCTCCTTCCTAAGATCAGGTACAAATGTGTTTGGATTTTTTTCTTTCTTAAAGAGTAGCTTTGCAGATAAATTATCCCAAGGGAAAATATAATCTTATATGCCTCCCCGACCACTGATAGATCTATGTGGCAGAAGTTCAAAAGGAACCCTGCTGCCACCAGCTTCATGGCATTGCCCTGACGGAGCCTGAAAATCATAACCCAGCACAACTCAGACTGTAATCGTTTTCCCATTGGATTGGTACTCATGCAGTGTCCCTTCTGGCATAGGTGAATCTCCAAATGTCTATACCACTGGCTAGTGAGAGCCCTTTTCTCTTTTTTGTTGTTGTTTTTTGTTTTCTTTAAACCAGGAAAGACTGTAATGTCAACAGGTCATCATATTTTCACAAAACAAAATCACTGGTTCCAGTCAGCCCTGAAGTTCTCCTTTAATACACAAAAGCCTCTCCTTATTTGTGATGTGTTAAGCAGTATGAATTCAGTGGAGAAAGTGGGGAGGGCTGCCTTGAGGGCAACTGGCAGGAGGGAATTCTCAGGATCTATCACAGTAGAACATGGCAGCATGAAATATAAAAATGGGTTCAAAATGTAGATCCACCTCCATCCAAAGTCTTTTTCTAATGCCTTTTTTTCATTTCCACTGGAGAGTTTGGTGTTCCTGGGGAAAAACAAGAAGAGAATTTTGAAATTAAATGGATGATAATTTGATAATCCCCAGTGACCTATTTTCTTATAAGATTATGGAATTGTGTAAATCAGTGTGGTTTTTATAATGATTAGAGTAAGAGAGTGCCTGAAGACATAGAGCTGGGACTGCCAAGGCAGGAGCTGAGTCTGAGACTCCTCCCTCTATCTCTTTCTTGCTATTTCTTTTAGAGAAAAAGGATTCTACTGTAAACTCCTGGAGAGTATCCTACTGTCACCTTCAGTTCAAATTTCATTATACTTCCTGTTGCAAGGGCTTATCCCACTGCCCAGGGGCAACCAACCTGAGATGGGATCCTCAGGATTATCTCTGTGAAACACAGCTGGTAGTTCTTCCATTTTTGCCACTATGCCAATTTTCTATTCTTTCCCAGCATGCCAGTTGAGCTTCTTATGAAGCTGTAGTGGAAAAACAAATCAGTGAAATGCTGCAAACTATAAAAATTATCCATTTAACAATTTTTATTATTATCATGAACCTTAAAGGGGAGGGAAAAGGGGGAAATGGTTTAAACTCCTGTCCCTTTTGGACAGACAATAATGCTCATTTTTTGACGTCATAAGCCCAAAGCATAATATTTCTGTAAGATACTTCCCTTCTGCTTGAGGCTCTTTAACAGAGCTTAAAGACATCCTCATCCAAAAAAAATATACTGTGTACTTGAACAAAGTACGAAGCAGGTGGAGTAATGGTTAAAATCATTAAAATCTTTACCCCCGGGCTTCTGGCCTGCAGCTTGTCCCCCCTAAGCTTATGTGATGACTCATATGCATTTACATTCCCCGTGCTTCACACGGCATCTGCTGCTACACATTTGTTGCAGGATCTTGTCTTTGAACAGCTGGTGACAACCCACTTCCTCTTGCTTTCTTCAGCAGAGATTTTTTAATTGTTTCTTGTTGTTTTGATGTGAGACCCAGTGTTGGAAAAACAAGCCCATTTACCCTGATTAGAACCAGCCCTTTAAACACTTGCCAATTAACAACTCATTTGCTATTTTTCTAAGGACCAGGAAACACTTTCCCTTTCTCTCCTTTCATTTTATTCAGATGTGATTCCACATAAGCAGAACAAACTCAAATCATCATGGCTAGGCTTCGCGAACGAAGATTTGGGAAGGCTCTATCCACATTTGCTGCAGGCACGCTGGTGGCTTATGAGGCCAATACGTGACAGACAAATCCGATTGCAAAAGGCACAGCAGAAAGACTCCTTAGATGGTGTATTCTGCAATACACGGTTCTTTCTGCGTTGCCTTTTTTCCTCGAGGGTGATCCTGCGTGTGTTCTCAAAGGAGACAGCTGCGTTATAGATGGTGTGTCTCCAGGCCTCCCGATTTGAGGCCAGAGTAGACCAGTTATGGTGATCAATATGGCCAAGGCTGAGATGTTGTTTCAGGGAGTCCTTGTATCTTTTCTTCGGGGCTTCTCTCTTGCGGCAGCCAGTGGCAAGTTCACCATAGAGCAGGTATCTACATTCGATACCGTACTGATGGAAGTCTATTCAACCTAAGGCGACTGAAGGCCCACACCAAGACCTTAAACCATCTTGTCCGGGAGCTGCTTTATGCTGATGACCCCGCCCTTGTTGCCCACACAGAAGCTGCCCTGCAGCGTTTAACATCCTGCTTTGCAGATGCTGCTGAGCTCTTTGGGCTGGAAGTCAGCTTAAAGAAGACAGAGGTCCTCCATCAACCTGCACCTCTGGAAGTCCCCCATCATCCCCACGTCACCATTGGCCAATCAGAGCTCAAATCAGTCCAACAGTTTGATTACCTTGGTAGCCTCATCTCCTCAGATGGTAAGATCGACGGAGAGATAGACAACAGGTTAGCAAAGGCATATAGTGCTTTTGGAAAACTCCACAAAAGAGTATGGCGAAATAAACACTTGAACAAACTCAAATAGTTCTTATATAAAATGTTATAAATATTTACCTTATTCTCCGCCTTCCTTTTGTACTACAGAGTTGGAGAGGAAGGGATCCTTTAAGCTAATCTTCATAAGCTTGATGTCATGATAACCAGACTACCTTCTTACACTGCCACTGTCACTAGTGATGAGTTTTATAGATGTGATCTGCTGAAAACCAAACAGGAGAACATCACATTAGCAACAATGATACAAAAAGTGATTAATTTCAGTTATTTGATGCCAATCCTACTAACAGACATTAAGAAATATAATTTAACATGCATGTGTTCTTAGCAAAATTAGAGACGGTCTGGTTTGTACTAGTCAAGTATGTGCAATCTTCTTTCAGAGATTTGATCTCAACTATTTCTGTGAAATCATACGGTATGTTTTTATTCTTTCTGAAGTAAGCTAAATGCTTAGTTACTGTTTTTTTCTTTTTGTTTTCTCATTCAACACTTCAGATTTCCTTGTCAGGGACAACCTTTATTACATAAAGGTTTTAAGGAAGTACTAAACCTTCAAAGGTTTTCATTTTTGAAAAATACCATTACTTATCTCAGACAACTCCAGTAGTAGTTACTTGAGAAACTGCATATGATCCTACCAGACCTAAAGGTAAGGGCTCTTCTGCTTTGAAATGCTTGGGATTTATTACTGATTCAATGACTATACCACTCCACAGGAATTTTCCAAGTGGGGGATTCCCCCTTTTTCATAATTCAGGTTGAGGTTACAATCTATTGTTTAGCCTGTACTGTACTATTTGTTCCCGTAAGTAGTATCTGTTCATATCTTCACCTATACTTTGCCAGTCCCTTAAAACATAGGTATAATTATGATACATGGCTGTTTAGGTGTTCTGCACCTCTCCACAGAGGTATCTTTCACAACCACTGCATACTCCGAGTTGAGTTTTCCTTTGCAAATGTCACAGAGCATCTGCCTACAGAGGAAGGGGTTTTCTTGGAGAGTCAGTCTTGCTTTTTACCATTGGATATGTTGATTGTTCTTCTCTAATAGAGTTCCTTGGCTCCTGAATTTAAATACTGAATAAGCACACATATTTACTGAATCATTGCCAAACTTGTTTTTTATCTGTTTGTTTCCTATGGCAAGGGAGGATTTCAAATCACTTTGCTGCTCAGGGGAAATTGAAAACAGGATCTATTTTTGGTTCTCATTTAACTTCTCAAGATAGATCAGTGGAAACCTGTTATAACACTAATTTACTTAAAGATGTATTATGTGCACTTTGCTAAAACGCTGAGGGGAAAAAGCTTTGCTTTTGCAGTTGTTTGGCCTGAAGCCAAGATCCTCCATGAAGCTATATGAAGAAGACAGAACAGAGTTATCCACAGATTTTTATGCATACAGTATTATTCAACTGATTGGCCAGTGAATCTATGCCCTTCTTAAAACATATTTAAAAAGACAGTATGAGGATATAGATGAGCTGAAGCTGTACCCTTTCTCTGTAGCTATGCAAATCAAGGATTGACGTGGAGCATTCGGATGAATCTGCTTCCCACACCTGATGTCAAAACAAAATATTGCTTTCTTAGAGCCAGAGATTAAATGTTTCTCATTTTACAAAATGTGGTCCAAGTGCAAAGAGAGGTGCTAAAAGTCTCAATGTTATTTTTTTTACAACAAACCATAAAGGTTAGTTGTACATAACTGTTGGATAATTTTTACTGTATTAGCTGTAACTTCCACTTGAGCACACCATAGTGCTCTACAGCTGAGTGCACAACATCTTTTGGTGCATGGGGCAATATTGGTAAAAACTTAGACTGTGGTTACACCTGCTCTATGAATAGCAGTGTCATTTGTCATGCTTTTGAACACACTGCCTGTTCAACACAGCTGTTGAAAAATTTTAGGCTGAGATAGATTTGTCCTCTAGTTCACAAACTGGCTCTTTTTTCCCCCCTCCATTGCAGTTCATCTCAGGCTAAGGAGAGAGATTTGCACATAATTAGATATTCAACGCCTGTGTTTCAATTATCATAATATTTGAAGAATCTGGTGCTTCACTTAATGTTCCTCAAGTAGTTCTCTTGATTATTTGCTATTGCAGAGCTGCAACAAACTTGTTTGTTCCTCCTTTTCTCTCTACCTGAATTTGATTTCAGAAAGCAATCTCAGATAAAGAGGAGATTTCAGAGTCCTAATCACATGCTGCTGTTGTTGGCTTTGTTGCTGCAAGTGGCAACATAAAGTATACTTTACCTTACACTATATGAAATGCCAGGAGCAGAATACATTATTTTATTGTGATGTATTTTTTTTTTTTTGAGAGCTGTTCCAGAACAGGCATATCTGAAGACCACAATAGTTGTATTCAACAAGAATTTTATATAATATTTAATTATAAGACATACATGTATCGG